TCTAAACAGTAGAACTGAAGCGCGAGCTACGACATAATTTGCGAAGACCTTTTGACTATGTTCAGGATAATTAAGTTCATCTTATGAACTCCCACTCAGATAGACATCCCTCTAGTCATCTAAGTGATTACATGATCCGAGTCAACTAGGCCGTGTCCGATCATCACGTGAGACGGACTAGTCATCATCGGTGAACATCTTCATGTTGATCGTATCTACTATACGACTCATGCTCGACCTTTCGGTCTCTTGTGTTCCGGGGCCATGTCTGTACATGCTAGGCTCGTCAAGTCAACCTAAGTGTTTCGCGTGTGTAAATCTGTCTTACACCCGTTGTATGTGAACGTTAGAATCTAACACCCGATCATCACGTGGTGCTTCGAAACAACAAACTGTCGCAACGGTGCACAGTTAGGGGGAACACTTTCTTGAAATTATTATGAGGGATCATCTTATTTACTACCGTCGTTCTAAGTAAACAAGATGCATAAACATGATAAACATCACATGCAATCAAATAGTGACATGATATGGCCAATATCATATTGCTCCTTTTGATCTCCATCTTCGGGGCTCCATGATCATTATCGTCACCGGCATGACACCATGATCTCCATCATCGTGTCTTCATGAAGTTGTCTCGCCAACTATTACTTCTACTACTACAGCTAATGGTTAGCAATAAAGTAAAGTAATTACATGACGTTTATGTTGACACGCAGGTCATAAATAAATAAAGACAACTCCTATGGCTCCTGCCGGTTGTCATACTCATCGACATGCAAGTCGTGATTCCTATTACAAGAACATGATCAATCTCATACATCACATATCATTCATCACATTCTTCTTGGCCATATCACATCACATAGCATACCCTGCAAAAACAAGTTAGACGTCCTCTAATTGTTGTTTGCATGTTTTACGTGGCTGCTATGGGTTTCTAGCAAGAACGTTTCTTACCTACGCAAAGACCACAACGTGATATGCCAATTGCTATTTACCCTTCATAAGGACCCTTTTCATCGAATCCGATCCGACTAAAGTGGGAGAGACACACACCCGCTAGCCACCTTATGCAACTAGTGCATGTCAGTCGGTGGAACCAGTCTCACGTAAGAGTACGTGTAAGGTCGGTCCGGGCCGCTTCATCCCACAATGCCACCGAATCAAGATTGGACTAGTAATGGTAAGCATATTGAACAAAATCAACGCCCACAACTACTTTGTGTTCTACACGTGCATAGAAACTACGCATAGACCTAGCTCATGATGCCACTATTGGGTAACGTAGCAATAATTCAAAATTTTCCTACATGTCACCAAGATCAATCTATGGAGTCATCTAGCAACGAGGGAGGAGTGGATCTACATACCCTTGTAGATCGCGCGCGGAAGCGTTCAAGAGAACGGGGTTGATGGAGTCGTACTCGTCGTGATCCAAATCACCGATGATCCTAGCGCCGAACGGACAGCACCTCCGCGTTCAACACACGTACGGAGCAGTGACGTCTCCTCCTTCTTGATCCAGCAAGGGGGGGGAGAGGTTGATGGAGATCCAGCAGCACGACGGCGTGGTGGAAGTAGCGGGATTCCAATAGGGCTTCGCCAAGCGCTGCGGGAGGAGGGATATGTGTCATGGGAGGGAGAGGGAGGCGCCAGGGCTTAGGTATGGTTGCCCTCCCTTCTCCCCCACTATATATAGGGCCAAGGGAGAGGGGGGGCGCAGCCTTGGCCCTTCCTCCAAGGAAGGGTGCGGCCAGGGAGGAGTCCATCCTCCCCAAGGCACCTCGGAGGTGCCTTCCCCCTTTAGGACTCTTCCTTTCCTTATCTCTTGGCGCATGGGCCTCTTGGGGCTGGTGCCCTTGGCCCATATAGGCCAAGGCGCACACCCGTACAGCCCATGTGGCCCCCCGGGGTGGTTGGCCCCACCCGGTGGACCCCCGGGACCCTTCCGGTGGTCCCGGTACAACACCGGTGACCCCGAAACTTGTCCCGATGGCCGAAATAGCACTTCCTATATATAATTCTTTACCTCCGGACCATTCCGGAACTCCTCGTGATGTCCGGGATCTCATCCGGGACTCCGAACAACTTTCGGGTTACCGCATACTAATATCTCTATAACCCTAGCGTCACCGAACCTTAAGTGTGTAGACCCTACGGGTTCAGGAGACATGCAGACATGACCGAGACGTCCTCCGGTCAATAACCAACAGCGGGATCTGGGTACCCATGTTGGCTCCCACATGTTCCACGATGATCTCATCAGATGAACCACGATGTCAAGGACTTAATCAATCCCGTATACAATTCCCTTTGTCTATCGGTACGATACTTGCCCGAGATTCGATCGTCGGTATCCCGATACCTTGTTCAATCTCGTTACCGGCAAGTCTCTTTACTCGTTCCATAACACATCATCCCGTGATCAACTCCTTGATCACATTATGCACATTATGATGATGTCCTACCTAGTGGGCCCAGAGATACCTCTCCGTTTACACAGAGTGACAAATCCCAGTCTCGATTCGTGCCAACCCAACAGACACTTTCGGAGATACCTGTAGTGTACCTTTATATCCACCCAGTTACGTTGTGACGTTTGGTACACCCAAAGCACTCCTACGGTATTCGGGAGTTGCACAATCTCATGGTCTAAAGAAATGATACTTGACATTAGAAAAGCTTTAGCATACGAACTACATGATCTTGTGCTACGCTTAGGATTGGGTCTTTGTCCATCACATCATTCTCCGAATGATATGATCCCGTTATCAATGACATCCAATGTCCATGGTCAGGAAACCGTAACCATCTATTGATCAACGAGCTAGTCAACTAGAGGCTTACTAGGGACATGGTGTTGTCAATGTATCCACACATGTATCTGAGTTTCCTATCAATACAATTCTAGCATGGATAATAAATGATTATCATGAACAAGGAAATATAATAATAACTAATTTATTATTGCCTCTAGGGCATATTTCCAACACTCCTAGGGCCGGCGCCCCTAGGGACCCTATATATAGTGGGGGGAGGGAGGGCAGCCGCACCCTAGCCCCTGGCGCCTCCCTTTCCCTCCCGTGACACCTCTCCTTCTCGTAGTGCTCGGCCAAGCCCTGCCGAGATCGCCATAGTTTCCACCACCACGCCGTTGTGCTGCTGGATCTCCATCAACCTCTCCTTCCCCCTTGCTGGATCAAGTTGGAGGAGACGTCTTCCAACCGTACGTGTGTTGAACGCGGAGGTGCCGTCCGTTCGGCGCTAGGTCATCGGTGATTTGGATCACGACGAGTACGACTCCATCAACCCCGTTCTCTTGAACGCTTCCGCGCGCGATCTACAAGGGTATGTAGATGCACCCTTCTCTCCCTCGTTGCTAGATGACTCCATAGATTGATCTTGGTGATGCATAGAAAATATTAAAATTCTGCTTCGTTCCCCAACAAAAACTTGGGGAGATGCTGGATCCACTTGAAACCAAGCAAATCTATGGATCAAATCCAACAAAACTTCGTCAAACCAACAAATCACAAAAAATTGGGGCTATTTTTGGTGGGGATTTTTGAAATTGGGGAAGAACACAACAAAATTAGGCTAGAAAACAACGAGGGGAGGCTCCGAAATCGTGATCAACATGGCTCATGATATCAAGATGATGTAGGGTAGAACCCTAATCGGTCGATCTTTCACGAAAGGAGCGGATCCCGCGAAGAACACGAGGAACACGAGAGGGAAAAGAGAGAAAACACAAGGGGAAACACAAGAGGAACACTCAAACTAGCAACAACAAGTTACACATGTGCTAGATCCTCGAATACATAAGAGAAGATACACGATCTAAAGTCAACAACGGACGATACACGGTAACCGGTCTTCTCCGTGAGGAGGTCTTGAGTTCTTCCCTAAAGAGGGGTCTTGACTCCGCTTGGGGGATCTTCTCCGGTGGAGGCTCGAATCTCCGAGGAGAAGGTAACCAAGTGGATGAGCAAAGCTCTCACACAAAATATGAGCTAATCCTTTGCTAACCCTCAAATGGTGGAGGTGGAGGAGTATATATAGTCTAGGGCCACGAAGGGGTAAGTGAAGGGGTACATGGGCTGCGGCCCAACACATGGCAGCGCACAGGCGCCGGTCACCCGACAGGTACCGGACATCCGGTGGCTCGCGAGGGCACGGTCGTCCTGTACTTGTCAGACGTCCGGCGTTTTGTCTCGGTTGAGGTGGCGCTGGATTTCCGGGGACGGTCGGACGTCCGGACGCTGGAGTGTGTCGGACGTCCGGGACTTGTCGGACGTCCGCTCATTTTGGCTCGGGTGCGGGGTCGCCGGTCGTCCAGTCCGGGCCGGTCGTCCGGTGGGTCTTCAGGCGTTGGACGTCCGGTCCCGACCGGTCGTCCGGTGGCTGGAGCTTCTTCTCTTGGTCCTTGTACTTGGCGTCCTCGCTAGCTCGTCCGTTGGATGTGGTGGCTCCGTGGCTTTCCTCTATGTACCTGATCATGCATAGCACACACGTTGGAGGTAGTAGCCATGTCTCATATGTAGAAAGTGAAAGTTCGAAGAGGAGCGAGTTCACCTTGTGTCCAATGGTGTATAGTCGAGGTCTCATCTTATGTATCCTTGGGGCTTGGAGAGTAGTCGGAGTGTACATAAGGATGAACACTCATGGTGACAATCAATTGAGCTATATTATTTTCAAGTGGTCGAGGTCTCATCTTATGTATCCTTGGGGCTTGGAGAGTAGTCGGAGTGTACATAAGGATGAACACTCATGGAGAGTAGTCGAGGTCTCATCTTATGTATCAAGTGGGATGCTCCGCATCAATGGCTATCAATGAAAATGATTATTTTCAAGCCAACTGGGTTGTAGTCACGGCCAACAACATGTATGCACACAAACTTACTTCAGGTGGAGATCAAGGTGATCTTGGCTCACATCATGGTGACAATCAATTGAGCTATATTATTTTTCAACAATATTTTTCTGAAGATATATTAGATGGCTGCGGCATGGTAGAGGTGCACCGGCAGACGCGGCTGAGCATACATCATCAATGGCTTGGCCAGGAACACATCATGATCTGACTCGCTGAGATCTATAGCCGCCAATCCAACTGGCTTGCTCCAAGTGAACCCTTGCAGAAGCCTGCCGAAGAGCATCATGCACATTGCCGTCCCAAGCGATGTCGCCACGCACCCACGACGGCCGGTGCTGAAAGAGATGAACCTCAGCTCGTTCTCTGTGAGTGCCACATCATCCGTGGTCATATTAATGTGGCGCTCTGGTATGAAGCGGAGCGGCTCATCCCAGATGGTTGGGTTCCTGCCGAGTCCAGTGCGACTGAGGATGACATGGCTTCCCTTGGGTATGTGGTAATCGGCAACGTTGGTGTCGGCGAGTGCGACATGCGGCACGTTGAAAGGTGCAACAGGGTGCAGCCGGAATGTTTCTCGGATGCACGCCTTAATGTAGCTGAGTTGGGGGATATCTGACTCCTGCATCAGCCGCTCCCAGCCCACCACGCGGTCCATCTCCTCCATCGCCTTCGCCATCACCTCCGGCGCGTTTGCCATCTCTGCAAGGGCCCACTCCACCGCGTTTGATGGGTTATCAACGGCTGCAAAGGTTATGTCCTGCATGCACATGCCACGTATGCAACACATTAGTTGGCCAGTCCACTTTCTTTGCACCTTGTAAATATTTGACATGCGTTGACCATGCATGCATATGTGACTTCATAATATTGGAAAGTGGTTACCAACCTGAGACTGTGCTTTGATCTCCTCGATGGTGAGCAGCGGCTTCCCCTCGGCGTCTTTGAGCGTGATGAGCACGTCCAGGAAGTCATCAAGCTCCTTCTTCTCGCCGGACTTCCACTGCCCCCATCGCTCGTCGATGACGGCGTCGTGCAGCCGGTTCAGGGTTGCGTTGGCCTCCTTGACCATCTTCTCATGGCCGTCGAGGTCGAAGCCGCGCAGCCAGGGAAGGTAGTCGGAGACGCAGAAGGCGTAGAGGAGCCCGAGGGAGGTGAACAAGGCGTCCATGTGCTCTACCTCCAAGGGCCCGGGCCCGCCATCGCGGCGTCCGGGCTCACCGAAGTATCGCCTGCCGAATAGGAGCCGGCGGATGACATTGCCGCAGTAGTGCCTCGCGACGTGCCTCACGTCCACCGCGCCACTGCCTGACGATGACCCCTTCGCGGCGGTGGCGAGGTTGTAGACGTAGTTGGTGAGGTTATCGGCCTCGTCGGCGCGGCGGTCGTGGAGCCATCGGTGGCGGGAGGGGCAGATGATCTCGGAGGTGAGCACCCGCCGCATCTTCCTCCACTGGTCCCCAAACGGCGACAACACGGCGTTCTTGTATCCGCGGCTGAAGGCGGCGGAAGCGAAGGTTAGCGGGCGGGAGGCGAAGGTGGCGTCCTGCTTCCTGAGCACCTCGCGGGCGATGGTGGGGCAGGTGATGGCGACGACGTGGACGCCGCCGAGGCGGACGCAGGTGATGTCGGTGCCCATCTCCTCCATCATCCGGTGGATCCACCGGAACGCGGGCTTGTTGAGCATCATCTCCGGCAAGCTGCCAACCACCGGCCACGGCGCAGGGCCCGGCGGGAGCGGGAGCGTGTGCGGCTTGCTGGTCTTGCGCCTGAGCCGGAGGACGAGGTAGATGAAGGCGAGCAATAGCACCAGCATTGTGGAGGCTCCCAGCTGCTCCATTGCCATGCTAGCTAGCTCTGTAAGTTGGAGCAAAGCAACTAGCACGCACGGAGGGATATATTGGACGCAGAGATCAGAACAGTGGTGGCCACAAGATCAGACACAGCTACGACGCGCATGCACATCGTAAACGCGCTATCCCAGGGTGGGATGGGTGGGAGAGCTGTAGAAGAAGGTTCTCAAAGAGAGACAGCAATATATGCTAGCTAGGTTTCTCACTCTGATTGCAAGTTTACACCGTACCCCATGAGACATTAGGGAATACATTAAGTGCAGTGTGCCTCCAAGAAAAGGGACAGCTAAGCATAGAACGGGAAACAGGCGTGCAGGGTGGCTAGGATCGAAGACGCTCAAAAGTGACAACGTACGCTCAAACGTCACAAGATGTGTACTGCTCCGACAAGCTTAGCTTGCTCCGGACGTACTTATAGAGCATCTCCAATAGATGGTCAAAATATATCATAAAAAATGGTTTTTACACAATAAAAAATGTCCAACTCCAACACATGCATGATGTAAAAATAGCTAGTGCTCCAACGGGTGATGTAAAATTGAAGATGATGACGACGGGCGTCAACGGCTCCTCCACCATGGTTGGCACCGTGAGGGGAGGTGGTGGGGGAGGAGGCGTGGCAGGAGCAGCAGCCGCGGGCGATGACGTCGAAGCAGCAGCAGCTGCGGCCGCCTTCATCTTCTTCTCTTGGGACGAAGCCACGACGGGGTCGGAGGAGGCGTCCTTGGGGATCCGGTGGCGGCAGGTGGGCGGCCTTCTTCCTCGCCAGTGGTACCATTTCAGCGGCGGCGGCGGCGGGACATAGGACAACAAATCCATCGCGCCGATTTGGGGCAAGCATGGCCGTGGCGGTCGCGGCATGACCGGCGGTACACGCGGAAGCGGCCATTGTGAGGAGCGTCGAAGCGGTGTTAGCAGCCGTGGAGTTGGGGGAGGCGTCGATGGGGATCCGGCGGCGCCAGATGGGAAGTCAGGCGTGGGGTGGGAATTTTACACGAGAGGTCCAAGTGAGGCAAATTTGCATCACCAAGTGATGTAGTTTACATCTAGAGCAAAAGCAGAGTTTTTTTTTACATCTACATTATCTGTTGAAGCATTGTTTTTGGTCTTCATGATGTAAAATTCGACTATTTTTACATCTATATCACTTATTGGAGATGTTCTTATTGATCTACTATACCTAGCTAGAGGCTGCTCGATGCATGCATGCACGCATCAGCCCTATCACCATCCTAGCTAGCTAGTAGTACTAGTGTACCACCCTGATCACCTTCATGGTCCACGCATGACGCGTACATCCACGGACCCACTCGCACGACATGGCCGGCCGGGAGCAATGTATTTTGTATGCTGCACCATTGGTTATGAGAACAGTTAATTAAATTGATATGGGAGTTTCTCCTCAATTTGTCCATATGGACGTATGGCGTGCGCTAAGCCTTTGTCATCTTCCGTGCGTCCGGTACGGGCGTAGCACTGTCCACAGTACGTACGAAGCGATATACACATGGATTGGTTACAGGCCACCACCGTGGCGGGATGGACGGACGACAACTGGATTAAAATCCGCAAGATCGATGATCGTGGACAGCAGCCAGCAGGATAGACGTAAAGTACGTACGTTTTTTTAGCGGTAAACTAACTTTATTACTCAATTGCCAGGTTTACATCTATATCTATACCT